GGGTACGTTTTAATTTTAAGACGAGTAAATATCTGCCATAGATAACACAATATCTGCCTATACCATGTCACATTTTCAGACAAGCACATACCAATATCAGCACTTCAAAAACAAAAATATATTAAGAAAAGGAAAATTAAGAAGGGGAATAAAAGGAAGGTGGAGCTGGGGAAGACAGAAGAAAAAGCATTTGTTCGTGCATGTACTTATAGAATGAACAGATTTATTAGACCTCCATGAGCTGCTGTAAGACATTCCTCTCGTCACCCAGACTATCAGATAACTTCTCGAGGTTATGCCATTTAAAATGTTCAGAAACACAAAAAACGAATATTGGCCAATACAGCTGAATTTAAAAAACTGCATGAGGCGCATGGAACTGCATGAAGTCGCCTTGAAAAATGAAAGTGTTGCTGTTCCAGTTCACTCAGTACATACAGCTGATTAAACCTATTCGTCTTTACATTATTCACATGGAGGGTTTAAAGCGCTCAGCGTTTGCAGTAGTGTGGAAACTCAATAAAGTAGAACAATTATCTTAGGCAATAGGGCGACTAGGTCTGGAAGGTGCGAGAGAGAGAGAGAGAGAGAGAGAGAGAGAGAGAGAGAGCTTGTGTAAAAACTGAGCTGGGCAGGATGAACTGTGCCCTGGCCCCTCTATTCGCGCAGCTCGGCTTGGCTCGGCCTCCTCAATTAGCGCCGCTCCCGCCGGAGCCCCGCTGCGCCGCCCATACACTCCTCACACACTCCTCATACACTCCTCATACACTCCTCACCGCCTCCTACCGCGACCCTGCTCAACAATCATGAAACCATTTAGAAACTGACTCGTTCTGTAAATAATCTCAGACGCGCCAACAATGGAAGCCATCCGACAGGAGTTTATTAGCAAGAAACCATTTAAACAGATGTCCTGTTTTACGCACAGCCAGGGGACGTTAGAAGCTCGGTGGCTAGCGCAGGGAGAGGTCCGAGCAACCCACCGGAAGTGTCAGGCGGAAGCGGCCTCTAATCGTTCATCTGGATACGGTGAGAAAGGTAGGCTCTCCATGTGGAGGCAGGAGCTACTGCTCCATAGTGTGTTCAGAGAACTGGGCTCAGAGACGAGATCAACCATGATGATGATGATGATGGAGATGATAATGTAGAAGAAGATGATGATGATGATGATGATGATGATGATTATTATGATAGTAGTAGTAGTAGTAGTAATAGCAGCAGCTACTTCTCTTGCACTGGCCACAACAAACCTTGACATTCAGTTGTCCGCGTATTCAAGTGTCACATCCCACTTTATTGTGTGCACATATCGCCCTCTTGTGGGGAATGTAAGAAACCTTTGCAGGAGCACTGATTATTCCAAGAGCATCTCCACCATAACATACCACATACACAGATTTTATGTAACAAAATGATAGGAAATTCGTGGTTAAACTTTTAAACCGTAACCCACCAGGAGGCAATACATTAACCTAAATACAAATACAAAAACAGGAAAAAAGACCTATATTATTGCAGGAAAGGTCTAGTGCGCATGGCTCATGAGCTTTGGTGGAGCGGTTTTAGCCACAAGTGCCAACACATGCAGCATACAAGCGTTTAAACGGGTGAAGAGGGCAAATTCTGAAACCAGTAAATATGATGCACTGTCACCAATTTAACATGAAGAAAGTTAACAGTGAAAGACTAATAGTTTATATTTAGGGTTCTCCACAATTGTGGAACAATCAGTTGTGTAAATATGAAGCAGGGGCAGATGTAGTGATTTGGGGGCCCTAGGCAAAATATAGGAATGGGGCCCTCATTTCAGTGTTTTAACATCAATATTTACAACTTCAGCATACTTTATTTAGCATTAGTACATAAAAATATATATGATTTGCATTTTTAGGGGGCCCTTGGCTTCTTTGGGCCCAAGGTGGGTGCCTATCTTTGCCTAGTGCTAAGTCCGCCCCTGATATGGAGACAGCATGAAGAAAGCCTCATGCAGTCCTTGGGTCACATTGCCCCGTTTATTATTTTTAATAAAAGAACAAAAATAAAACAAATATTTTTTTTTCACACCTGCAACTTGGTCGCCTTGGCTTATTTATTTTTTTAACACAACACACATAATGTCCTCAGGTCAATTTGTCCCGAGAGTAATAAATGGTTGAAAAGAGTATGAAATTAAAACATGAGTTCATGTCAAAGACACAAGGTAAGGCACTTGTGACCCCTCATATCCAGAGAAGAGAACAAGTCCCATGGTTCTGAGCATCTGCAGTCATGTAGAGAAGGATTCGGGAGGAGGCTCCTGTTACCCCAAACTTCACATCCCAACATCATAATATCCCAGACAGCCACCAGTGTCTAAAGTAAGTGTGAGTGACTTTGTTAGCGGTATGTGTGTATATGTGTGTGTGAACATTTTAGGAGTATTAGGTGTCTAACAAAGTCTTTTTGCCATTGTAGGTTGCAGTTGGTGGCGAAAAGAAGAAGCATTGCCAGAAGTATGTACCAACAAACTACACCAAAACACTTTCTACATGTACCAATTGCAGCAAATACATTTGTAATGCACACACTGTAAGATTTTGTTCATCATGTACTGTGTAGACAGACATGCACATTTGAATGGTGTTTGTTTTTCCAGTACTTTACTGAGTTCTTTCAGTATGATGTGAAATTAAAAAATGCCAATTTGATGTTGTGTGTTTTCTATTTGTTCTTTATAGCTGGCATTTTTTTGTCATAGCCAGTATTATTTTGAATATGGCAAGGTAGAGATAAAAATTTAAAATAATAGTTAAACACAATAGTTATCAATCATCATGAAAACCTTGTTTCATTTAAGTTTTACAAGAAAAAACATGATTTATGCTACAAATGTGTTGATTAAGTTGATTCCTTGCTTATATCACACAAAAACAGATAACATTTTCATTGTTAAGAGTGAGGCAAATTTCAAATATTAAACAGATCTGTCATCATTATTGTTTGTAAGGAAGTTGGAGACCATATATGCACTGTAATTTTGTAATTCTTTCACATCTGTGGTGTTTTAAACTCTCAGTTATGTCCTGGGTCAATCTGATCCAGCAAAGACCCCCAGTGGGAGCAGAACTGAGGGATGCACAAGAGTTAAATGGTGAATTAAATGTCTGCAAATGGAGCAAGGAGGTTATTTATGTTATTTGATTGTATATAAGATGTGTTAATATGCTATAGCTAGTTAGGTTAAATGATTTTAATAGTTATAGTGCAACCATAAGCAAAGTTTTAATTTGGAACAACAAAGGCATGCAGAAATGAATAATTTTGGAGAGAGATTATTAATTATTATTGATTATATGCACACCTAAATTTTAAAACTGAAAAGGCTCATTTTTAAAATTATTTTTAGTTGAGTGCATAGTCAAATGGCATAGACCCAAAATGTAGGGAAAAAGTTTTATTCCAAACAGTAGGGGGTGCAAATGCACCTTTTGCACCCTCTAACTAAAATAAAATAATATCGCCTATGCTGGGGTGTCCAATCTTACCCACAAGGGGCCAGTGTGTGTGCAGGTTTTCATTCCAATCAAGCAGGAGCCACACATGATTCAACCTGTTTAATCAGTTGATCTTGGCTTTCAATAGACTCAGGTCTGGCTTCTGCTTGGTTGAAATGAAAACCTGCATGCACATCGGCCCTTTCCAGATAAGACTGGACACTGCTGGCCTATGCCCTCTGAGTCACTGGGTGCTGGACATCCTGTTGTAATCACTGGTGAGGGGTTTATCGGGGTCGTATCTAAACATTTGCGGACCCTAAGTGACAACTTACTCATGGGCCCCACACCCACACCTATCATATTATTTTATATACAAGAATGAACAGATTTAATACTTCATTATCTAGGACGAGTCAACAAGCTACTGTTGTCATAGCTAGTAGTAACGAGCTAGCAACTTAACATGTGTTAGCCTAACGCTTAGTACTCTAGATACTAGCCAGCTCTTCCACAGACATGAGCTCACAGACACCCACGATTGGTTAGTGTCACTAATTGACAGGGGAGAAATGCACCTCCCACCCAGCTAGGCCCGCTTGTTTTCCCTGTGCAGTTCGCTGTTTCGAGGAGGTAAATATACATCACTCATCACAGTTATCTGGCTAGGTTGTTGCTAATAAAAGGCGACCATGAAGGCATCCTTGGTTTTTTCCATTTCATAGCTCAAACACATGGAGGTTGAAAATGGCTTCCGACTTCCCACTTCCTAATTGAATGCAACAATCAAACTTTTTTTTCCCCAAACGATACTCAAGTGTGCTTTTTCTCATATCCATTAAAAAATTGTGGCCCCATGGTGGTCCGAGGTACTAAGCAACCGCTTATACCACTAATAATAATAATAAAAAAAGGCAGCTCTGGGGGTCATCCACAGAAGGACATATGATGTTATTTATTTTTCCATAGAAGCTGCATAGACGTGTGTATTCTGGTTATTTTTACAACTTAAATACTTAACAGACAAAAAATAAGGGGGGCCATTAATTCTCTGGTGCTGATCATGTATTTATAAAGCATTGTGTTGAGTTTGTGGCCTTGACAAAGTCTTTGATTGTTGTGTTATCTCTCTCATGTCTTTGTTTTTGCTCTGCAAGTGTTTACATGTGTGGGAATGGAGCGCTGAAAAGAAATTTAAAGTTAAAAGTACATTAAATCCTTTCAACCAGCACCACTTCAAATAATCTTACTTATTTTATCCATCCATCCATCTTCTGTGCCACTTATGCTATACAGGGTTGAAGGGAGCCTGGAGCCTATCCCAGGGAGGTTGGGGCACAAGGCGGGGGACATCCTGGAGAGGATGCCAATCCATTGTAGGGCACAATCACACATATGTTCACACACTATGGACAACTTAGAAATGCCAATCAGCCTACAGTGCATATCTTTGGACTGGGGGAGGAAACAGGAGTACCCAGACAAAGCCTCTGAAGCACTGGGATAATATGCAAACTCCAGCACACAGGGCAGAGGCGGGATTCAAACCCTCAACCCTGGCGGTGCGAGGCAAACGTGCTAACCACTACATCACTGTGCCCCCTACTTATTTTATACATAATCTTATTTAATCTGACATATAAGTTCAAATGGAACACTGCACACCAGTGTACAGAAAATGTAACACTGGTTAGTGTTGAGCGGTGTTAAATTCCAGCTCTCCACAGAGTCAAAATTAACTCGTGTTAAAATAACACTCTGAGGAGTTGACCCATAGCGACACTATTAAAGTGTTGGACTCTATCAAAGTTGTTTTGTTTTTGTCCAGCATACAGTCTAGCAGCTTGTTTTGAATGGTTAGACCTAACTTTGTTCAACTGAGTTCAAGGTAATATCATTAACCAGGGTTTTAACAAAATTTCCTCCCCAATTACATCTCAAAAACCAAAAAACAAAAGACCTGAAACTAGGCCAAAATTGGGCATTGGAAAAAAAAAAATTCTCAACCTTTCTCAGTACGTACAGAAGCCCTAAGAGGCCATACATTATTAGGCTATGTTTATTTTTTCTTGTTTTCTCGTGATCATGACTTAATTTTCTCGTGATCTCGACATAACAAGTTGTTTTCTCGTGATCACGACTTAATTTTCCCATGATCTCGACATAACTAGTCGTTTTCTCGTGATCACGACTTAATTTTCTCGTGATCTCGACATAACAAAATAGACATTTTTTATGTGATATCGACATAAAAGTTGTTTCCTCTTGATCACGACTTAAGTTTTCTGTGTACTCGACATAACAACATGTTTTTATTGCTCTGGAGACAACATAAGCTTAGAGCAATCCCGCAGCATCATGGACGAACAAATTCGTTTTTACTTTGATCAGAGACTCACTGAAGCTGAAACAGCTCTAGGTCTGTCAGTGACTGACAACTTTCACATTACTATCCGACACTTGAGAAAGAGGCTGTCAGGTCTACAGCCCTCTCTCTTAATGAGGAGATAAAGTCCATCTCTACAGCAGACAGTTATTAAATTTATGATAGAGATGACCAACATGAATGCAACACCAGTCCCACTGACAAGGCGCGAGGTTTTCTAGTGATAAAATTAGGTCGTGAGAAAACAACTTTTTGTTATGTCAAGATCATGAGAAAACAACATTTGCTATGTCGAGATCAAAAGAGAATAACTTTTGTTATGTCGAGATCACAAGAAAACAACATTTGTTATGTCGAGATCACAAGAAAATTAAGTCGAGATCATAAGAAAACAACTTTTTGTTATGTGGAGATCACGAGAAAATTAAGTCGTGATCATGAGAAAACAACTTGTTATGTCGAGATCATGGGAAAATTAAGTCGTGATCACGAGAAAAAAATAATAATAATAATGCATAGCCTCTTAGGGCATCCATAAGTGTGTGACTTGTTTCACACGCATTTCTGATGCACAGCAATTACTCTATAATCCCCATTTTCCCTCTCCCAGTCTTTGCAATATAGTCTATCTTGCAGTAACTGGCTCTGTGCATCATAGACCCACTGTCCGCATGTAGACTTTGCATCTTTTGTGTGAAAAATTATTTAAATCCGAAACAAGATCTTGGCGGATGCGGATTATTGTAACTGTCTTGTCCGTTGCTTCTCCTCCACTGAAAAGCAAGCATGGACCGCTATTAGCACCTGTTGCAGTTCCCATTTTTGACCACTAGGTGTAACAATAACTCTGTGGAAGCTAAGTGAGGCAGCGCGCATGCATGTGTGATTGCACAACATCTCGAACAGGCGAGCAAATAAACGGAAATAAATTGCTGGTCACACAAAGGAGGTAATTAGTATTTAAATGGAGTTTAAAATGTATGGAGTAGTGAATGAGAAAGTGTCTTTGTGACGTCACTGTTCTGTTGGGGAGTTAATTCAGGGGTTTAAAAGTGAAACCAAAATGTCTCTGAGGCCCTCTAGTGGCTGGCTGCAGTATATTTTTAACCCCGCCCAATCCCATGTTAGTGAATGGGAAACGAGCCAAATTCACATTGTAAATTACATCTCCACAGATTATTATCAGGTATAGTGTTCTGTCTATTTTACAACTTCAGCTGAGTTTGATATCTCCCCCAATATTTATGATAATCTTTACAATAAATGCGTTTTAAAGGAGTTATTTGGTGATAATTAAAAGGGCATGGTTGATGAGGTGATAGTTTTGGACATGACAGTCGAGCCTCTTGAACTTGCAAGCACTTTCCAACATGGACTTGAAGCCTTCGGCAGTTCTGTAGCAACGTCATGTCTTGTTCTGCTGGAAAATGGCCTAACAGACCCTCAGCAGCAGTTTTTCCAGAACTCATTGTACTGATATTATAACTAACAAACCATCATGAGTGAATAAAGTGATGGCATAAACCAAAGCTGATAACACTAGCTAAATTTCTTTATCATTTTCTACTGACTGTATGACCATAGCTAACACTCAAACTAGTTTAGTGAGTTTAGCCAGGCTAAAAAGGTTACTCCTTTTTAAACTCACACATATGCCATTCAGATGGGTAACTTACTGCAGGTGTCAGAGCTAAATGGAGAGCAGCATTATTTTTCCTTGTTGAGTGTAAATGTTGACTGCTTTTTAACAGTATATTTTCAGTTGGTACATTACGTTAACTACTTATGCTAAGATTACTTTGACTAATATGATGGATTAGCCATTGTCAGCTAGCTAGCAAATAGTAGCTCATCAGTCATGACTCAAAGCTCTAAACTGTTTTCCTGACAATGGTAAAATCCATACACTTGCACAAATAATACGACTACAATTTACGACCAATACTGAGGAGACTCTGTAAACTCAGTAAAAATGGTAACTTTTAATTTGACCAAAAAATGCTTCAGAACTGCACAATGGGAGTAAATAGCACATGTTTTCCACTCATGTATACAATCATTGGTTTCATAAACATGGCACTGTGTCCTATGCTCTGAAACTGCTTCCATCACCCCCATTCTTAACAAATCTGATCTTGACCATGCTTTACTAAAATATCATTTAGAAACAATGCATTAAAATATGTGTCGTCATTAAAAGATGAAAAAGATGACAACTGTAGAAGTTCATAGCTTATTCTTTATATAGTAAGACAATGTTTGCTTGTAAAATCCTCAGAGCTATTGGAAGCCACAATGACTGTCAGATGTACTATAATAAAACTGCACATATACAGAGCTATCAGGTTAAGAGAGCCATCTGCTGGCAACCTCATGTCTCTCTTTCACTACTGGCTCTAATTTATAGTTTTAAAATAATCCAGCATGTGGTGGACTCTGTAAAGTAGGCAATTAGAAGGCAATAGGAGCAATTTTTTAAAATTTTATTTTAGTTTTCCATTATTTTGTTTATCTAAACTTTGATAAAACAGATTGGTTTCAATAATATCAGCAATCAGCGATCAGCGATCAGCTATCACTAGCTATGTAAATGTGAATTACACATACAAATGATAACGAAATTTCAATCCAGCATGACTGATAGAGTTATACACTGCTTCTAGACTGTAAGAAAACACGTTAACTTAACAGCTAGCTCCTACACACAACATTCTAATACCTAGTTAATTAAATAGTTAGCTAATTGGAAAAGCTACTGGAATGAAGTGATTGCTTCGATATACACATTTTACTGACCAAAGGCCAGTGAACATGCAAGGAGGACATTAGTCAGAGAAGCAACTAAGAGGCCATGGATAAGTCTGAAGGAGCTGGAGAGATCTAGAGCTCAGATTGGAGAAGCTGTTTACAAGTCAATCACAGCCTGGACACTCCACAAAGCTGGACTTTATGGAAGAGTGTAGAGTCGTATGATCCTGTTTGGAGTTTGTGAAAAGGCATTTTGGAGACTCAACAAATGGAAAAGATTCTTTGTTCTCAACAGTGTTCATTGCCCTGACAGACCCAAAACCATAGTGAAGCGTGGTGGTGGTAGTATCATGCTGAGTGTTACCCTTGACCTCTTTTTTTTTTTTTTTTTTTTTTTTTGATGCACCGGCAGGATGTTTAAAGTTTGGGACATTTTTATAAAACCAAACTCTAACTGATACTTTTCCAGAACATTGTCCCACACTTTTTTTTTGACTGTTCCTTGGTCATCATGATGTTATTTGTTTAGGTATGTTCTCTAACAAATCCCACTGTTTTATACTGGGATCATGTGAAACTTTAATTGCACACAGGTGAACTCCATTCAGTTAATTATGTGACTTTTGATGGTACCTGGTTACACCAGAAATAATTTAGGCATTTCACACCAATGGGAGTGAATGCTTACTTAATCTGAACTTTAAAATTTTTTACCTGTAAATAATTTTGCAAAGTAAATACACTGTAAATAAATGTCCATAAAATTTACAGTGAAATACTGTAAGATAGCAACAGTAAAAAACTATAAATGGAAAAACTGGGGAAAAAACATTTTCAAAACCTCAAAACACCATAAGTAGTAATGCAGACATTTACATTAAAACACTATAAGTAGAAATGCAAACCTTTACTGTAACAATTTTTAAACCTAAATCAATTTTGGAGTTTTTCCCACACAATCTTAACAGCTACATAAGCTGATAATTGTGGTTTGGATCTTGATGAACCTTTACTACTGGAAATAAATGAAGTACTGTTTTCATACAAAAGTGGTTGCTATGTACATAAATGGTTGCTTGGTTGCTTTATTGTAATTATATGGAATCAAGTTTGTATTCTTACCACTACAAACTAATACTAATGATGCAGCACTTCATTGTTCCTTTGCCTATATTTACTGGTTGCTTTTCTTTTTAACAGTTATATATATTTCTCTTTGTTCTCCATTGCTGTGATCCAGCAACCACCAATTCCTGGGGACAGAAGATTACCTACCTGCTTTGGAAACAACCTTGTAAGCACTTTAGGTTATCTACCCTCTTTAACTACACTCACCATCCACTTTAATAGGAACACCTGTACACCTGCTCATTTTATGCAGTTATTCTATTAGTTTGGGTGAGTCTGTGCCCATGATAGCCTCAGATTCTTGTTCTTGGCTGACAGGAGTGGAACCCAATGTGGTC